AGCCTGTGGTGGTTTTCAGGCTGGCCACACACCCTGGTGACCAAAATGGAGACCCTGATATCTGGGATTTATTTATCTTCTATAATTGAAACTTTGTAGCCTTGAAGCGGGCAGGCAGGAAGCTTGGCTTGCTCCATCGCCAGGGTCAACTCAAGACTCTGGCTGGTTCCAGCTCCATGGCGGCTGCCATCTTTGTTGGGATTCATAATTGAAACTTTGTAGCTTTGAGCAGAGACCAGGGTCAGCCAGGGCAGGCTGGAAGCATGGCTTCTTCCATCACTGGGGTCAACCCAAGACTCCTGCTCCATAGGCACTGCCATATCTGTTGGGATAATTTACATACTTGCTCCTGATTGGCTGGTGGGCATGGCTTGTGAGTATAGCGGAGGTAAGATCAATTTGCATGTTTCTCTTTTATTTTATAGGAATGTTTGTGCTAATACTTTAATTTATCCATTATAGTCCTGATCTATCATCCCAGAAAGAATTTGAAATCATTTTACTGTCAAATTGCTCCTGATCAAATTAATCCTATCATGCCCTCGGGAAGGGGAGAATACAATGGCCTGAGGCTCCATCTCCTGGGTTAGGACGTAAAGGGAGGTGGGACTGAGGTCCAATCCTTTACTTCCAGGAGTGGCACGGTTCAGGTTTCCAATGGTTGGCTTTGGGACTGAGCCGCTGAAAAGGCTGCAGTGGGGTCAAAAATAAGGTCCCTACTGTTTAGTGGGGCAGGGGCTGGCCCCGCTGGAAGTTTCCCTGCCTAGGAGCATTAAATTGTCTTCAATATCAGTCTTGGAGCAGCATTCATTTACCCAATGCTTTCCTCTCCTGCATCTTGGACACAGCCCAGGCTGCTTGTTTCCACTCCCTGTAGCCTTTTGACTTCCATTTCTACCATTGCAGTCTCTAGCAAAATGCCCTAGCTTACCACAGTTTAAAGCATCTCCCTTTTTCTGCTGACAAGCCATCATTTCTTTTAATGTGGCAGCTAATACTGCTCCTTGAACATTGGCTGGTCCAATGTCAGCACTAACACAGATGAAATCAGGTACAGTACCATTCTTCCTGTAGGTAAGGCCTCCTGACGTACTCCATTTGTATTTTCAGCAGCCAATTGTTTCAGGAGTATCATTCCAGCCTCAAAATCAGCTACAACTGTGCCTACTGCTTGGAACAAGCAACCACACATCCTTGCCTAATTTTTCTTAAGTCTAGAGATGTTTCCCCTTTTGTTGGCAGCTGCCCCCAGGCTTTGGTGGCACAGATATTTACTGCTGATAAGTTTGTATGGGGTTTTCTAACTGAGCCTGCAAAGCCCCAGGAGTTTTGGTGCCCATGAGCATATTAATTGTAATGGGTACCCCATGAGCTGCGTGTCTGCTACCCTGCTCCTCACAAAGCTCTGCCTAATTAGATTTCCTTAATGAGTAATCTCCAGGTGAGGGACAAGACTTTGGGACAGTATTCCAATCACTACCCTGTTTCCCCAAAAATAAAACACTGTCTTATATTAATTTTTGCTCCCAAAGATGTGCTAGGTCTTATTTTCAGGGGATGTCTTATTTTTCCATGAGGAAGAATATGGTACACATTTATTGTTAAATGAAAATAAAGGAAATTTATTACCTGTATATGGTACAGTAGTACGGTAGTTGTCAACACAAACCAGACAAACTGAATCCTACAGTATCAAGAATTTACTCATTTCTTCAATATCAATCATGTCATCGTCTTCTGGAACATCATCATAACAATCCAATTCCTGAATTTCCTGGTGAATTTCTTGTGACTCCATTTCTTTCAGAATCAGTGGACCAAATCTCTAATATTTAGCCTAGGAGGGCCTTATTTTCAGGAGGTGCCTTCTATTTCACTCAGAAGGAAACCTGTAAGTAGGTCTTATTTTCGGAGGATGTCTTATTTTCGGGGAAACAAGGTAGGAGCCATAGCTTCCCCTGATATTGTATCTAGTTACCTAGCCCACAAGGGGAACTTGGTCCACACATAGAACAAGAGGTCTTCAACTCCTTCCAAGTTTTAAAAGATATAGACTGAGGGCCATGGAGCATCTGACCTGCATTCTGAGGATCAGGCTGCTCAAATACAGGGTATAGACTGAATCCTGAAGCATCTTCCCCAGCCTGCCTGGCTGCATGCAGAGTCCGCTGGAGTAAAGACAGAGGCACTGTATTTGTTTCTGCTTGTTTGGGGGGGAAAGGAGTGGTTTAGGAGCAACAGTAAACTCCCCAAATGCTTGCACCTAACCCCCACCCTCCCATTCCCACAGGCGCTGTTCCCTTGCTGCCTCCTCCTCAGATTCTCATTCACTTTTGGGGAGGAAGAACATTGTGCTCAGGGCTCTGCCCACAGCAGCTGTAGCCCTGGGGACTGGAAGAGGCAGCGGAGGCATCCATGTTAGCTTTCCATTCTTACTTCCCCCGCCACATTCACCCATTCCTTTCTGGAGTGGGTCCCAGGTAGTCAGGGACCACAGACTGAAAGTAGAGGCAGGAATTCCCTCTGGACCTTCACCTACGTAATGATCTCTAAGTTGCTTTTCTACCTTCTCCCTTGTCTCTGCATTTACCTTTCCTTCCTCTGGAAACCAGGGGCAAGTTTGATTTACCAAATTCAACAAACCAAGCAGCTGATGATGTCTAACAGAACAGCCCCGTGCGTGGAGCACAGCTTTAAGCATAGATACATGTAAGTTCTTTTCCTGCCATCCTGAATTTCCCATTTTTACACCTAGCTATTACTAAACCACGTAAACTGGGCTCCTTACCTTACCTCTGGTTTTCTGCATGTGCTTCACCGGAGCGCCCTTTCATCTTGCAATTGTAATTCCCCCGAACTCAGACCCCACGCTGGATGCCACAGGTGCCACGCCAGCACTGCCAGGAGGGGCGGTGGGGGAAGGATTGAAGAAAAGACTGACAAGAGAATACAGCTAGGCACCGGTGGAACTCCGTGCCTGGATGAAGACACAAAAGGCACAGGCTGCAAGCAGATGCTTTATTTTATAATCTGATTAAAACAAGGGTAGAATAACATTTATACAAATGTCATTGTTTTGACAACACTAGTTGCAACTCCACAGCCCATTAGCTCTTAGGAATGAATTAGGGAGGATTGCAGGTGAGGCTTAAACATACCAGGAAAGCACAGGTCCGGCCAAGGCTCCACCTTAGAGACCTCCCTACAGGCCCCATGGCTCTTGGTTGAGCATCCACGTACGAAGCAGAGGTCATGTTTTGATTAGGGGTCCAGGAACCTGCCTAGGTTGCAGGCTCTATCTGGGATATGGGGCATGCATGAGGCAGCCAATCAATGACTCCCTCATCTTTGATGTTTCTCTCTCTCTCTCTCTCTCTCTCTCTCTCTCTCTCTCTCTCTCTCTCTCTGTGTGTGTGTGTGTGTGTGTGTGTGTGTCTGTGTCTCCCTCTTGCTACTCTCTCTATCCATACTTTCTCTCTGAGATATAATTTAAAAATATATATATTTTTAATCATAAAGATAAAAAATAAATAGAATGAACAGCCTGTCCAGTTTTCTCTGAGCATCAGCCCAGGGACCAAAGGATCCAGGGTTTCATTTCTGCTCAAGGGCACATACTTCACAGGTCTGATCTCCACCCCTAGGCAAGGGTGTGGGGGAGACAACCAATCAATGTCTCTCTCTCTCTCTCTCTCCTCTCTCTCTCTCTCTCTCTCTCTCTCTCTCTCTCTCTCTCTCTCTCTCTCAATATTACCCAGATCAATGAAAGAGAATCCCCTTCCCTTCCTTCAAACACTCTAAAAAAAATCAATGGAAAAAATATCCTCTAGTGAAGATTATTAGCAAATGAAAAACAAAAAATTACCAAATGGGCCAGCAATGGCACTTCTGGGGAGATACACACAAAAATGACAGGCAGGGTCCTGAAGGCATTTGTGGGCACCTGTGTTCACACCACCTCAGAATAGAAGCAGCCACCGAGGAAGGTGCATTGAGAGATGGAAGGATAAGAAACTAAAGGGATTATCGACTGGGACCATGGAACAGAGTTCAGCAAAAGGGATTATCGACTCGGACCATGTCCTTTTTAAACGGAAGGACATGCTGACACATGCTCCCACATGGACAATGACCCATGAGGATAAGATGCCTCCTGATATCAATCAGCCCATCATGGCATGTTCTGTGGAATTCTACTTTCATGAGGTGGTCAAATTCACAGGGACAGAAAGTAGAATGTAGCAGCCAGGGACTGCAGGGAGAGGGAGGGGGAGTTAGGGTGTTTCACGGGTACAGAGGCTCCCTTTAGCCAGATGAGAAAAGGTGGGGGGGAACCTTATGGAGGGATGAACACGTGTTCCAGCCCCCAGAGAAGAGAAGGCAGAGGACAAGGAGACATTGTGACTGACCACTCTGTCCCATGGACCAAGCAAGGCAAGGAGACACAGTCCAACAGGCCTCAGGTCCTGGCAGACCAGTGCCCAGACCCACATTCAATCAGAGTGCTGCTCCACGCTGGCGGGGTTGGCGGGTCCTTGGAGTGCAGGGAGAGGGAGATGTGGGTGAGCCCTCCCACAAGGTCTCAGTGTCTGGTCCCTGTCTTGCTTCCGACTTGCACTGTGTGGTCTTGACCTCAGTGAGCCTTGACTTCCTCCCCTTGGCCCAGAAACAGGACTGGTTGTGGGGCCAGTGTGGGGCACTCAGTGGCCTGGCACAGGGAAGGCTGAGCAGAGGATGGGGCCCACCCTCTGGACTGCGAGCTCCCTCCTGTGGATGCGGTCCCCAGGGAGCTCCAGCATTCTGGAAGCCAGTCCAGAGAAGATCAGATTAAGTAGGGTGGGTTCAGGGTACAGATCTGAATAGCAGATTGGAGAACAAGAAGTCCAGTAGAAGTGATTGGCTTAGCGAGTTAATCTGCGGGAGGCGGGGCTTTCTGCCCATATAAGGGCGGAGGCACCCAGCCTGAGCCATTAGGCTGCAGAGCCCAGGAGAGCAGGACCATGCCTTCGCCCAGAAGAAGTCGAAGAGCAGCGCGAGCTCCAGCCCTGCTGAAGGCCCCGGCACCCAGCTGGTTTCCTCCCGGACATCTGCAAGCTCTGCGGACCCATGGGCATGCTTCCTGCCCGGCCCCAATCCTGCTGCCCCTGCATCATCCTACTGACCCTGGCAGACTGCTCCTGGCTCCCCCCAAACACAGCTGGGCCCCCAAATTTCTCATTATCCAGCCAGAGTCTGTGAGGAGAGGCCTCACCCCCCGCACCCAACTGCCCACCACCCAGGGACTGTGTGACCTGGGGCGGCAGGCAGAGCAGGCTCCCAGATGCTCAGCCGGCCTGCCCCAGACTGCCCAGCATCCCACCCCAAAGCACCCCTTCATCCACATCTCAGCTGCTGGCAGGGATAAGAGGAGGGTGGCCCAGGTCCCAAAGCCCTGCCTGGCTGCAGGTGCCAAGAAGCCCCTCCGAGCCAGCAACAGCAACCCTCCTGCTGAGGCCCAGGGGCTGGGCAGCCAGCTCCCTGAGACACGCGCCCCCTCAGACATGGCCCCCGGCACTGTGCCCCCCAAGAGCATGGCCCGCCGCCCACCCAGGCAGAGTTCTCAGCAGCCGGTGCCACCAGAAGAGGCAGGAGACAAAGTCCCCGCTGCCACCCGTCAGCGCTCCCTCAGCCTGTTCCTGGACCAGTGTCTCAAGTTCTGCCCGTCCACCCAGGAAGCCATCGAGAAGGCGCTCCAGGAGGAGAAGGCTGCCTACCACCAGAGCCCCAGCAAGACCAAGTACCACAAGCTGACCCACAGCACCTTGCACAGGCTGTGCTGCCTGGCCCCCCGCCCTGGGCCCGGTCCCTGCAAAACCCTCAGCGCTGTGCCCCAGGACGTGGATCTGGGGGGCATGTTGGCCACCCAGATCTGTTTCTCCCTCCAGCACCCGGCCAGCCCCCTCGGGGAGGATCCTGTGAAAGGAGCCGCCCTGTACCTTCGCCTCAAGGAGCTCCTGCTCACCCAGGCCCAGCTGAAGGAGCTGGGCTTCCCCTTCCCCCACCCCAAGAGGCCCGGGGGCGCTGTCCTGTTCACCAACCAGGACAAGCCGCCCCCAGACCCCTCCTGCAGGCTCTGCTGCCGCTGTGGCACCCAGTACCTCGTGGCGCCCTCGGGCCACTGTGTGCAGCAGGAGGCATGTCACTACCACTGGGGGCGGCTGCGCCCCACTCCAGCGCCCGGGGGCTGGCAGACCCAGTACACCTGCTGCTCCGCCGCCATAGGCTCCCCTGGCTGCCAGGTGGCCCAGCAGCACGTGCGGGACGGCCGCCACGAGGACCTGCAGGGCTTCGTGCACACCTTTGCCAAAGACCTGCCCCCAGGCGCTCACCCCGGCATCTTCGCCCTGGACTGCGAGATGTCCTACACCACCGCCGGCCTGGAGCTGACCCGCGTCTCCGTGGTGGACAGCGCCGGCAGGGTGGTGTTCGACTCCTTCGTCAGGCCCCAGCGCCCCATCGTCGACCACAACACCAGGTTCTCCGGAGTGACCGCGGCTCACCTGGCCCGCACCAGCGTCTCCCTGCGGGACGTCCAGGCCATCTTGCTCACCCTCTTCAACGCCGACACCATCCTCATCGGACACAGCCTGCACAGCGACCTGCTGGCCTTGAAGCTCACCCACCGCACCGTGCTGGACACCTCTGTGCTCTTCCCGCACCACCTGGGCCTCCCCTACAGGCGCTCCCTGCGCAGCCTCGCGGCCCAGCACCTCGGACGCGTCATCCAGGACGGAGGGCATGGCCACAACTCCATCGAGGACGCCATCGCCTGCATGCACCTGGTCATCTCAAAGGTTGGACAAGACGCCCAGACCCAGCGCTCACTGCCGCCCAGGATTTGATGGAGGTGACTATGGATTGGGAAATGCTGTGTGATCACACATGTCTAACAGTAAAGGAACGGTTCAATAAGCTAGAGTACATCTGTAGTTTTATTTGTCATCACGTGTATTTCCTGTCTGATCCCCATGGCTCTGGGTTGAGCATCCATGTAAGAAGCAAGTTGTCACAATTTCAATCAAGGTCCTGGCACCTGCCAGGGTTGCATACTCCATCCCCACTGTGGGGAATCCAAAGGGCAGCTTATCAATGTTTTTTCTCTTATCATTGATAATTCTATGTTGTTCTCCCTCTCTCTCTCTAAAATGTAATGAAATGTATATTAAAATAATGTTTATTTCCTGATTCTTTGAATTGTTAGTTTTTTCTGTTAATTATTCATAAGGTCCTCAGTCTAATTCTAGTATTACTTTATATGTATGTTTAATCATACACAAATGCATGTAAATGAGATAAAAATTTTAAAGCTTAGATTTCAGCATTTAGATATCTCATTAATTTATATAAAACTATGAATGTACTAATCACATGTATCATCATATTAGAGCTTTACAAAGACCAAAGATATGTTGCTTATTTTGCATTGCCTTTGTAATTTCTACCTTTAAACTTTTTTCAAAAATAAATCTTTATTGTTCATATTATTACAAATGTTCCTCATTTTTCCCCTCCATTGCTTCCCTCCACCAAGTTCCCACCCCACCCTCTGCCCTTTCCCCACTCCCCATTGTCCTCATCCACAGGTGCACAGTTTATGTTCAGTCTCTTCCCACATCCCTCACTCCCCCTTTCCCCAAGAATCATCAGTTCACTCTCCTTCCATACCTCTGATTCAATTATATTCACCAGTTAATATTGTTCATCAGATATTTTAATTTCCTTGGTTTTAAATTCACTTCTTGATAGTTATGTATTTGTTGTTCATAATTTTTATCTTTATTTTCTTCCTCTTCCTAAAGAACCCCCTTCAGCAATTCATATAATTTTGGTTTGGCAGTGATGAACTCCTTTAGCTTTTTTTAATTTGTGAAGCTCTTTACCTGGCCTTTGATTATAGGTGATAGCTTTGCTGGGTATAGTATTTTTGGCTGTAGGTTCTTGCTATTCATCACCTTGAATATTTCTTGCCATTCCCGTCTAGCCTGCATGGTTTCTGTTGAGAAATCAGCTGACAATCTTATGGGTGCTCCTTTATAGGTAACTACCTGCTTCTCTCTTGCTGTTTTTAATATTCTCTCTTTGTCTTTTGCTCTTGGAATTTTAATTATGATGTGTCTTGGTGTGGTCCTCTTTGGATTCTTTTTTGGGGTTCTGTGTGCTTCCTGAACTTATAAGTCTAATTCTTTCACCAAGTGGGGGGAGTTTTCTGTCACTATTTCCTCCAATATGTTTTAGGTATCTTGCTCTCTCTCTCTCTCTTCTTCTGGGACCCCCATAATTCTGATGTTGGTTCACTTGAAGTTGTCTCAGAGTTTTCTTACATTATCTTCAACTTTCTGGATTCTCTTGTCTTCTTGCTTCTGTGGAGGAGTGTCTTCTGGCTCTTTATGTTCCAAATCTTTGACTTGTTTCTTGCGATCTTCCTTTCTGTTTTTAGGACTCTGTATAATATTTTTTTATTTCAGACAATGTATTCTTTATTTCTAGTTGATCCCTTTTCATATCCTCATAGGTCTTGTTTATTTTATTGGCCTTTTCTAGGAAATTCTTGAAAAACCTTATAACAGTGGTTTTGAACTGTATATCCAGTCACTTGTTGTCCTCCATTTCTTTTGTTTGTGATGTTTCCTTGTTTTGGCATTTTCGAAGCTTCTCTGAGTTGGTAGGGTGGCTTTGTGTGCTAAGGTGTCCTGTATGGTTCAGTGGGTCAGCTTCCCAGTTACCTGAGGTGGACACTCTTGGTGCACCCCTTTGTAGACTGTGTATGGCCTTATTGTAGTTAAGTCTTGATTGTTGTTGGTATCACTGGGAGGAACTGATCTCCATGCCAATTTGCTGTGATGATTAACTGTGTCGATGCCGGGAGACTTGACTAGACTTGGAAAATTGCAAAAGCCTCTGTGCTCAGCTTGGATGGGGTGGAGTTTCAGGGTGGAGCCTACAGGCTTGGATTTCTGGTACCCCTGCCCTAAGAGATTCCTCAGTCTCAGTGTTCCTCAATGTCGTTTGGTACTCGCTGCAAGCACCTCTGAGAGAAAGGTGCCCTGCTACCAGACAGGCTAGTCTCTCCCCCAATGAGCCCGGAACTGGGGTTCAGTGCAGTTGGAAGTGGGGTTCAATGCAGTCCGAAGCTTTTGTCTCCTTCCCACTAGGGCAGGCGTCTGCAACCTTTAAGACCTAAAGAGCCACTTGGACCCGTTTCCGAAGGAAAAAAAAATCCTGGGAGCCGCAAAACCATTGCGACATTTAAAACAAATATAGCACTGCATATATTGTTTCTTACCTTAATGCTATATACCGGATCATGTAGTTAGCTGTCATCTGAAGAACAAAAAGGACTTTTTCACTTAACAATGTAAAATATATTTTTGCAAATTAATAGCTAATTAAAATATTTAATTTACTTGGTTAATGGGATTTTTGCTCCTGAACCTCAGTGCACAGTGTCAGCACATCAGGGCTGTAAGACGTTACCTTCATTTTCGCACAGGCTTGCAAGTTGTCGGAGCCTCGGTAAAGCTTCAAAAGAGCCGCATGCGGCTCTGGAGCCACAGGTTGCCGACACCTGCACTAGGGCAATCCAGTGGCACAGTCAACAGTCTGTCCTTTGTGCGCAACCTGTGCATTTCTGGGACTCTGCCTTTCGCCGCTCCCCTGAGTTTCCATCTTACAGCTCAGATTCCCTCCTCCATATGAGGTTGGGTCCCCAGGGTCTGGCCTAAAACTGGGGTTCAGTGCAATCGGAACTGGGGCTCAGCACAGTCCAGAGCTTTTATCTCCTTCCTGCTAGGGAATGCCAGCCAGGTGCTCAGCCGCCCCTCCTCTCCGACTCAGTCCTCTCCCCACACGTGCACCGTGTCTCCGTACCTTAGGCTTTTACAGCTCCTCTGATTTTCCTTCTGGTTTTCTCTTTTCTCTTTCCTTCTCATTGTAGAATTTCCAGCCAGTTGACTTTCCTGTAGTTCTGGGTAATGTCCATTTTGTATTTTAGTTGTATTTTTTTGAAACTGTTGTGGGAGGCTGCAGTTAGGCATTTACCTATGCTGCGCCATCTTGGTTTCTCCCTTCCTCTCTATTTCCTGATTTTTAACATAAATCTGGTTTGTTGTAGAAAATTTCAGAAATAAACAACTAGAAAGATAAAAAGGAAACTATTCAAAATCCTACCACAAAGAAGTAACAATCTGAACATTTGATAAGCTTTCTCCTAGGGATAGTTGCATATTTCTTATGCAAAATTTAGTATATTATTTCTTTTTAGATTTGGAGCTGATTGTTTAAACTTCCAGAGTATGTAAATATATATATATATATATATATATATGATATCATTTATGACTTCTTAGTCTTCATTGTCAATAGGTTCTTCTACACTGACTTTAAGCAAAAAGATGCATAAGAAAATAAATCTTTACCATAGGCTCAGCAATACAATCATGAGTTGTGTCTATAGCATATTTGTGGGCACAAAAATATCACAATACTTGTAAAACCCAAAGCACTTCTAATATTCCACATTGAAAGAAATATGAACTGAATTGCTCAGTGGTTGAACCAAGAGGTCACTGTTTTATTGTAGGTCAGTGCACATGCCCAGATTCTGGGCTGCAACCCCAGTAGGAGGCATGCAGGAGACAGCTGATCCATGACTCTGTCTCATCTTTTAGATGTTGTTATCTCTCTCTTCCCCCACCCACTTCCTCTCTTCAATCAATAAAAATAATTTTTAAACATGTAAAGTGTACATACATTTTTTTAAAGGTTAATAAAGACAAATAAGATAATTATTTTCTAACCTGCTTATTGTAGTTCAGAAATGGAGAATTGGAAGTAAGTAATTTGGGGAAATCACAGGACTCCTGAATGACCAGTCAGGGTGGAAAGCCAGGTGGTCTGCCTTCACAGCCCACACTCTGAAGCAAACTCTATTCTACATCCCATGTCACTGAACATCCTTGAAAACATGATTTGAAAAGCTGCTGCATAATATTGACTAACATAAATATGCCAAACATGAGTTAATTGAACTCTTTCCCAGCACTGAGCAATTGGGTTGTTTATAATTGCTCTTGCATTTGTTTTGGTTTTTGTTAATCCTCCCCTCACCCCCATTGGATATTTTTACATTGCTTTTTTTTTTTTCTTTTGAGGAAATGGATAAAATGCTAATAACTCTACTCTTCCCCCCAAGTAAAGTTGCCTCCCTCAAATCCAATTAATCTTACAATGGAAATTAAAATATACATTACTTTTATTTTATTTTTATTTTTTAAAATAATTTTTTACTGCTGAAAGTATTACATATGTCCCCTTTGTTTTCATTGCTGTTTAGAGATGGAGAGGGAGAGGGAAGAAGAGAGGAGAGAGAAATATCAATGAGAGAGAGGCATCGGTTTCCTCCCAAATGTGCCCTGACCTGGGATCAAACCTGCAGCCCAGGTATGTGCCCTTGACCAGGAATTGAACTCAAGACCCTCCATGCACTGGCCAACGCTCTGACCACTGAGGACCACCAGCCAGGGCCTTCTCCTGTGTGTTCTTTTTGTCCATGCATCTTTGTCTTATAATGACCAAATCTCTTATTATTTCATTAGGGTGGGAAGTTATAGTATCAAAATGATACCTAGCTAAAGTTTAGTGGACTCACTGCAAATGGCATTTATAACAATATCCAACTGTACAAAAATAACATTGTTATATATTAAATGAATCAATCTTATTGAAAAGGCTAAGTTTGTGAAAAATTAGGAGTATTCAGGAAAATAAAGGACAGATCTACCTGAATTACAGGTTTGATCCCCGGTTGAGGCTGTTTCTCTCACATCAATGTTTCTCTCCCTTC